AATATTATTAAAGAAGACTAATTGTATAGATAGATGATTATTAATAAACAAATAATACTATTCATTAAAAATACAAAAAAAACAATTTAATAATGGGGGTTGGAAGTTCAAAAATAATAAAAAAAAATAAATAAAATTAAAATAAAAGTAAAATAAAAAATATAAAATAAATTTTTAATAAATATTTTTTATAAATAGATAATTATTTTATATTCACTAGAATTAAACTTATAAAGTATTTAAGTTTATATAGAAAAAATTAAAATTAATAAATTAATTAATCTTTTTTTTAAAATTAACTTGGTATTCAGGATATCATTAAAGAGAGAATTAAATGAAATTTTCAAATCAAAATATAGATTAAATTAAAAATCTCAATTTAAAACTATAAAAAAATTAAAGTCTATTCTATAATATCAAATATATATTATAATAATTAAATAAATAAAGCTCACATTACATTAAACAATTCTTTTTTTTTTATTATTTTTTTTTTTTTTTTTTTTTTTTTTCAATTTTTTAATTTATAAAATTTTTTTTTCATTTATTAAAATTAAAGCTTTCATTCACAACTCAATCATATAATTTATTTATTTTTTTTTACACTTTTTTATACATATTTCAGTTTTATAAATAATAACTTATATATATTCACCAATACTTTATTTATTTTTATAATTATTTTATTTTTTTATTTTATTTTAAATAATTATTTATTTTTTATTTAAAAAAAATGAATTATTATTTATTCATTTGTATTCTTTTATTTATTGTTGGGACCATTATATTTTATTATTTTGGTAAATTAAATTTCAACCAAAACCCCAACAATTACGACCGTTGCCAATGCTCTTCCATTAATGGTGAATTCTGCCGTTACTGTACCATTAATGACGAATACTGTGCAAGAAAACAAGAAGGACATCAACAAAAACAACAACAACAACAACAACAACAACAACAACAACAACAACAACAACAACAACAACAACAACAACAACAATTACAACAATTAGATCAGCTATTACATCAACAAAAACAACAACAACCACTACAACAACAACAATTACAACATATTCAACAACTTCAACAACAACTACAATATCAACAACAAAGAAATCTTATCAATCAACAGTATCAACAACAACAACAAAAATATCAACAAAATCATCTACAATATCAACAACCAATAGTCAATTCAAGAGGATTGTCAAATACTCAACCTCTTAAATTAAATGAAACACTAAAGGCAGAGATACGTTTAAAGGAACGTATCCAATTATATCAATTGATGGTCAGAAGGGAAATCCCTGGCGATGGAAATTGCCAGATGCATTCTATTTCTGATCAAATCTATGGTGACCTGTGTCATAGTAATTTAATTAGATGCAATATTGCACAATGGCTCAGAAACAATAAAGATTTCAAACTTCCAAACGGAGCCACCCTTTCTAACTTTGTCTCTGAAACAAGTTGGGAAGATTATTGTAGCAATATGTCAAAAAATGGTACATGGGGTGACCATTTAACATTAGTCGCCGCAGCTGAATTATATAAAACAAATATTACAATTATTTCATCAGTTGCATCACAAACTAGTTTCTTCATTGAAGTAAAACCAAGAATTAAAAGCGACCGTTATATTATGTTATCCCATTTTGCCGAGTTTCATTATGGCTCATTATGTCACATGTAAACTCCCCGTTTATAGGTAAATAATTGTATTATTTCACAATTTTTTTAAACTATATATTAATTGATATTCCTTAACATTATATACAGCCATTTTTTAATATTACTCATCAAATGTCCCTAGATTCATTCCTAGCTGTTGTCTTTTTTAGATTCCTTTATATTAGAAAAATATTATTATAGATAAATAAAATATTAGTTGAAACGTAGTAGTTGTGAAAAGTGTATCCTTATACAAAGTAGTAAGCCAATTAAATGAAAAGAGTTCCATATGGTTTTCAAAAGCATACAATTATTTATTCAAAGACCCTAAACAAAGATATAAAACATGTGTGTAATTTTAGAAAGTTTGGAAGGGTGTATATCTTGTGAAAATAATGTCCAAATATTTGAAAGGAAACAGAATTTAGTGTAATTACTGTAGCTATCGAAATTAATATAATTATTTGGAACCAACTACAATTAAAGAGCTCCGTGGCTTCATGGTGATATAAAATAGTATCATATAAATATTATTTAAAATTTAATAAGAATTTTTAAGAGTTACAAATAATTTTCAGAGTTAACGAAGAATAAGCCAAACAGAAAAGTCAAGAAAGAAGTCCATAAAAATGATGCCTATAATAAAGAAAACTATAGTTTAGATTGTGATCCTAAAAAAAGAAACATCTACAAGTCTAACCGATCTGCATTAGTATTAGCTCCAGATAGAATCCATTCCTAATTGTTTCAATCACTAGAATACTTGGTATTGCTCTTTTTAATGTTGGCCAGTTAAAATTAGCATATTATCATTTATTGAAATTTACAATCAAAAGGTTATTCTATTGGTATTCACACATGTGCACATGGTAATAATTGTAACCCAAGAAATACCATTATTTTGCAACATGGTTTTTAAGACATTATGTATTTAAATTAATGGTTTGGTTTATTTTTAGATCCAATAAAATAGTTTACAAATTACAATTAGATTTGGTTGTATTTAACTCAAATAGTACAAAATAATTTATTTTAAAATCAATTAGAACAAGCAGCTTATTACAATAAGAATAGAAAATAAATAGTTTAGTTTTAAATCCATAGTTTCACAGGATTAATTAAACTATTACTCCTAATATAACTTTATTAAATAAACAAAATATCAAATCACAATATAATATCAGCACCATACACCTTAAGCAATCCATAACAATAATAATAAATTCTTTTAAAAATAAACTCTTTTTTTATCCATATATGGAGACAATAAAATAATTTTTTTTAGTTTTTATTTTATATTTTTTAAAAGGATAAAATCGACAGTTAAAAAATATTTATAAATATATGTTTTGTTTTATTAAAAAATTGTTGTTATATAATACATGAAATAAATAATTTAGAAACATTTTCTGTGGACGATTGATGGACCTGATTCGTCATATTCTTCTTTTGAAATCCACATTTGTTGGAAAGTTGAGAGTGAGGCTAAAATTGAACCACCAATCCAGACAGAGTATTTACGTTCTGGTGGAGCAATGATTTTAATTTTCATGGTTGATGGGGCTAAAGCAGTTAATTCTTTGTTCATACGATCAGCAATACCTGGGAACATAGTTGTACCACCTGATAAGACGACATTACCGTATAAATCTTTACGAATATCAACATCACATTTCATGATTGAATTGTAAGTGGTTTCGTGGATACCAGCTGATTCCATACCTAAGAATGATGGTTGGAATAAGGCTTCTGGGCAACGGAAACGTTCGTTACCAATGGTGATGACTTGACCATCTGGTAATTCGTATGATTTTTCCAAAGCGGATGATGAAGCAGCAGTTTGCATTTCAGCTTCAAAGTCTAAAGCAACGTAGGCTAATTTTTCTTTAATATCTCTGACGATTTCTCTTTCAGCAGTGGTGGTGAATGAGTAACCACGTTCAGTTAAGATTTTCATCAAGTAATCAGTTAAATCACGACCAGCTAAATCTAAACGTAAGATGGCATGTGGTAAGGCATAACCTTCATAGATTGGAACAGTGTGGGAGACACCATCACCTGAATCCATAACAATACCGGTGGTACGACCTGAAGCATATAATGATAAGACGGCTTGAATGGCAACGTACATGGCTGGGGTGTTGAAGGTTTCGAACATAATTTGGGTCATTTTTTCTCTGTTAGCTTTTGGATTTAATGGGGCTTCAGTTAATAAGACTGGATGTTCTTCTGGGGCAACACGTAATTCGTTGTAGAAAGTATGATGCCAGATTTTTTCCATATCATCCCAGTTGGTAACAATACCGTGTTCAATTGGGTATTTGAGGGTTAAGATACCTCTCTTTGATTGAGCTTCATCACCAACATATGAATCTTTTTGACCCATACCGACCATAACACCAGTGTGTCTTGGACGACCAACAATTGATGGGAAAACAGCTCTTGGGGCATCATCACCAGCGAAACCGGCTTTGCACATACCTGAACCGTTATCAATAACTATAATATTTTAAATAAATTTTAAATTAATAACTAAATTTTTTTTTTTTTTTTTTTTTTTTTTGAAAATAATGAAAATATTTACCTAAAGCTTGAACATCTTCTCCTTCCATTTTATTTGTATTTGTATATATTTATTTAAATTTAAAGTAATAAATGAAAAAAAAAATGAATTTATATTAAAAAATGAAAAAAAAATGAAAAAAAAATGAAAAAAAAAATAAAATAAAATAAATAAAAATTGGGTTTTATGGATATTATTATTAAAAAATTTTTTTTTTTTGGTTTACCCAGTTCTTGTGGGTTTTAAAAAAAATAAATAAATACACAGGAAATCATTTCAAAATCTATTTTTATATATGTTCCAAACAATTAATTTGAATTAAACAATAATAATATTTTGATTATTTATTTTAAATTTTTGTTTGAAATCAATAAACATCAATCACTATATTTATTAATATTTAATTTAATTTTATATTTAGTAATTTTTTTTTAATTATTTTAATTTCTTTTTTTTTTTAAAATTTTTTTTTTATAATATTATTATTATTGTTTTTTCTTCATTAAAAATTATAGCTTACTTTCTTTTTTAATTTTTTTTTTTTAAAAACAAAATTATTGTAATTTTTAAAAATAATTAAAAATTCTTTATTTTTGGAAATATTTTTAAATAATGAAAGGAATGGTTTATTGTAAAATTTAGATTTTAATAAAAATATCTATATTAATATCTTTATTTTTAATTTTTTAATTTTTATATAAAAAAAAGTTTTGATTTTTGTTTTTTAATTTTTAATATTTAAATCATTTTTCAAATAGATCAAATGGACAGTAAAAACAAAAGAAAACAATCTGATAATAGTAATCTAACATTGGATAGTTCTACAATGGAAATTGGCATTAATAAACAACCACGATTAGAAATCAATGAAAGCAATGAAAAAAGCAATAGTAGTAATGGTGAACTTGTATTCTGGAAGGTATTTAGAAATAATGTAATATTCAAAAAAATATTTTCAAATTTCAAATTCAATCATATATTTACATATGACCGTGTAATAGGTACAATTTATATATTCAAAAACTTTAGTAATGCAAAAGCAATAATCATTGATAAAGTCATGAGTAAAAACTATTGTATTAGAAACTTACTCGAAGTAGATATAATTATATCTCGAGTCACCAAAAATACAAAAGAGAATAAAGAATTTTTTATTAAATTATTTTCCACATTTCCATATTACAGCAAAAATACCCACGAACCCCCCCAATTCGAAGATAGTCAGTACTGGTTACAATTTATTGTTGAAAGCAATAATATCCCGGCTTATCAAGCATACATTACAGTATTTAAACTAGATCAGAAAAAAATCATATCAGCACTAAAAAAGTTTGATCCTGAAGATCTAGATTTGGATAAACTATACAAAATGCAAGTTTATTTAGAGTCAGTCGGAATCAAAGTTAACTTAGTATCATTAAACGATGCCATTCAAACATTCCCATATAAAAAGAAACTCAAAAGCTTAATAAAATTTTACAATACTATAATTAAAAAGCACACACCAAATAAAAAGCAAATCCTAATAGCACAGCAACTAAATGGTCCAATAGATTTAAATCAGTTAAACCAAACTCAGCTAAATTCAACAATAGACGATATATCAATTTCAGGTGACCAAAGCTTAAAAGACTTGAAACCAACTATTCACAAAATATTTAAATACTTATACTCAATAAATAAATCAAATCACAGTGACCGAAAAAACCCATATTGTAAACCAATTTTATACTATGTATATTTTAAAGCACAATCAAAGGCAAACTTAATCAACAACACAAGAAAAGACAAAAAGAATAAAGTATTGAAGTCAATCGATTTATTTATAGATTCAAATAGTTTTTTTGAAAAAACTTTGTTTATTTCAAATACCGATTCATGCAAAGATTTTCAAAAAAGTGTTATTGACACAAATTTCATCCCAACAGAATCAAAAACTTTTTTTTCCTTCCAAAGAGTTATAATTAGTACAGGTGACATGGCTCTGATTGATTATCTATTTAGCAAATTTAAAAACTTTTGTTGTTTTGGCGATTCTCATATCTATGAAACATTATCTCTTATAAACAAGGAAGAAGTTTTCAATTACTTTTATGAAAAAGTGGAATCAATCAATAGTGATAGAAACTCATTGTGGCCATATGTCAGCGAAGAACTATTAGAGAATTATGAAAAACTAATGAAGAATGATTCAAAAAAGTTTTCAATATCACAACTTAGAAACCCCCACAAATTCAATTTAAAAAACCTTGAGAGAGCATTAAGAAACCCATCACTATATATTGTTCAAGATAATGTAGGTATAAATAGTTTTAATAGTGTTTTTTGTTTAAAACTATATTATGGTGAACAAGATTTAGTTATATCCATATTAGAAATGTTAATATCACTTGAAAAAAATTCAGATTACCTTCTCAATATTGTTCAAATTGCTGGGTCTTATCAATCTCGCCTGATCTATAAACTCCTCCACTGGGTATTCAGAGATCTTTCAGATCAAGATATAATCGATTCTTTCAGAAAAAAAGATTCATCGCTAATAATCAGATCAGGTATCTGTCCAACAAATAATCAAAAGTATCAAATTAAAATTCACGAATATAACTGTCACATTTTCCTTTTTCTATGGAAATGTGGACGTTTTGATGCCTTTTTTAAAGTATTTAGTTATGATTTTTTAGATAATTTCTATAATGATGACCTCAGCCTTACTCTTTGTCCATTAAAGTTAGTAGATTATTTTTTAGAATCAAACAATATAGAAGAAAATGAATATTTCAATGGTCTAATAATAAAATCAGCAGCAACAGGTATCTTATCAGTATTCAAAGCCATTCTCATTAAAAAACCTTCAATTTTAAAAATTAAAGATATAAAAAATCCCACATCAATCTATAGCAACAAAGAATTAAAAGAAATAGTCGCTACAACAATAGATAACAACAATTTAGAATTAACACACTTTTTATTACAACACATTAATTTTTCAAAAAAAGATTTAAATTACTTAAATAAACTATAGAATTATTTTATTTATTTATTTATTTATTTGATAATTTAATCTTTTTTAATTCTATTGATGATGATAAAAAAAGTGTGCTGGATTATTAAACCAAGATACCCAATCAAGCTTCAGTGTCAACAGATAAATACATTGGAAAATGTAATGAAAATTAAAACACAGAATATTTTATAACTTTAATAATAAAATCTTTTATTTATTTTATTCAGTAAATTTTTTATTTTTAGTTTTTATAATGTTATTTTAAATAAATAGATAGGCAAAGAATAGATATAAATATTAATTATAGTAATTGGTTATAATAATTAAATTATTTAATAAAATTAATTATAAATCTTAGTTATTATAAAATTATTATTATGTTGGTTATTATTATTCATTATTAATTAGTTATTATTAATCAATAATGTGGTTGTTGTTATTATTATTATCAAAAATTTTTATTCATTATCATATAATGAATTTAAAACGAATGAAGAGTTTCTTTTAACATTTTGGTTCTTGTGTGGTGACAATGCGCTAAATCTAGCTTTAAGATTTGATACTATTGATGATTTACGTTTTTTGGGTGTAAAAATTTCATTCTTTTCTAATTCTTGAAGAGATCTAGAGATTAAAGTTGAATCTTGATTGGCTGGGGACTCAGAGTCAAAGGCATACCAACCATAGTCATCACTGCCTTTTAATGCGATTTTGCCTCTTCTAATTTCTAACTCGGTATCGGAATGAATTAACTTATCAATTGTATCATTGATGTCTTTGACCCACTCTTCACGTTGTTCTTTATTCTGAGCAGAGATTAACCAAGTACCACTATTGTGATGAATCGAAAAAATATTTGGTGCTAAAATTGGATAATCTTTTACAAAAGTTTCAATTAGGTTTGCTTTTAATACTACATTATATTTACAATTGTTTGGGTTGTTGTTATTATTAATATTGCTTTCATTATTACTATTATTATTCATATTGCTATTGCTATTACTACTATCACTATTTATAATATTGCTGCTTGTATTTAATTGGCTATTTAAGTTATTATATTTTATAGTACCTAATAATAATGTATCATTAAATAAATATAATACACAATCGCTTGGTATTAATGTTGTAAGTTTTTTACTAAAGGTTTTCTTTAAGTTTGCCGATGATAATGATTTTTTAAATGAAGAGTTTAATGCGCTGTATTCTTCTTCGTCAGTTAAATCTTCCTCTTCCTTATTACTGTTACTATTGGTGTCATTACTATTGTAGATACTATTTATATTATTATACATATGAATGCTTTTAAATGGTTGTAATTGAAGTGTACTATTACTATCTTTAATTAATCTTCTATGAACCTCATCTAAAAACTTTATAAAGATAAGTAAAATTTAAATTAGTATTTTATTTTTTGGTGTATTATAGATTCTAAATAATCGTTTACTTACTCCAACTTGGTCATTAAATTTATATCTAATATTTGTAATTTTTTGTAAGCTTTCCGACTCTCTAACTTTTTCATTGATAATTTCGGTTAATAATTTCATTTTTTCTAAAGCTACCTTTAAGTTTTCATAGTCTGGATGAGATGGCAAAGTGAAACGAATAATTGAATCAATCAAAAGAGAATATCTTGGAATACGTTGGCATGGCATAATGAGCAATGACTTTAAAATCATTGGGTCTTCTAAAAACTTTTTGAATTTTTTACATCTATTGAACCAAGAGTCAATGTTATGAAGAGATCTATAATAGTTGACATAGTATTCGGTATAGTTTGTGAGCAATGGTAGCATTTGAAAAAGGAGATCAGAAATGATGGTATTTTCATTTAATTGGCCACTGGTGACAATACGATCCTTGAATCTATCTAAAATTATTTTATTAACTTCTCTGATACTTTCGATATTTGAAAAGATGGAAACTATAAACTTTACTTCTTCTGGAGCAGTATTTTCTCTACGGAGAGGTAATAAATAATTATCAATAATATTATTTAAATGTCCCATATAAGTAGCCTCTGATGAATAGACTTCTTTAATTGATTCAATTCTCTTTTTAGCTCTAATTTTATTCTCTTGCTCGATGATTAATTGCTGTTCTGCTGTTAATTTTGGTGGTGATTTTTGTTGTTGCTGTTGTTGTTGAGCTTGGTTATTTAAATTTTGGATTCTAGAATTATGTATTAACATATCTCTTTTACTACTTTGTCTTAATAACTGGCTACTCTTTCTGTCCTCTCTTTTTCTAGTTTGGAATTGATCCTCTTGAGTTTCACCATTCTTGGAAAAGTTTTTAATAATTTGAATACTATTTCTATTTAATGTTTTATTTCTTTGTTGTGGTACTGGAAAATTAAATGTTGATGATGAACTTGATGATAATGATGATGAAGATGAAAATGTTGGTAATGCAGGTGGTATGAATGTATCATTTTTTGTTGTAGAGGTTGTAGCTGCGCTTTGTGCCTCACAATCTATATTATTATTTTCATTATCATTTATATTACTATTATTTAAAATAATTGAATTATTTTGACTTTGAGCAGTAGTTTGTCTAGATACATATTCAAATAAATTACTAGTTGGTCTTTTTATTGGCATTGTTGGTGGACCCATTAAACCATGGTTATATATGTTTGCTATTGGTACAGTTGGTGTTGGATTAAAATGATTTTTTGGAGGAGATAATACCATTTTATCATCTCCACTTGGTGATTTAGGTGATTTTGGTGACTTTGGTGATTTTGGTGATCTTCGTAACTTTGGGGATAATGGTGATTTATTAACTCGAATATGATGTTGTTGTTTTGGTGATAATACCATTTTTTCATTTGGTGATAATACCATTTTATCGTTTGGTGATAATGGTGATAATGGTGTTTTTTCAATATTTGTATTTATTGATCCATTGCTATTACTTCTAACGGGTGTAAGACATTGGTTTTCTTTATTTTCATAATTTATAAATTGTGATTGTGAATGTTTTAATAAATTATTATTATTATTATTATTACTATTATTATAATTATAATTAAATGGATTTTGATATTGCATTTTTTTTTTTAATATAACATTTAATATAATATAAAAAATTAATTTCTCCCCACCAAAACACTGATTTAATTATTTATAACAATGATAATAATATAAAAAAAAAAAAAAAAAAATTTTAAAAATTTAAAAATATAAAAATTTTTTTTTTATTTTGTTTACACCCAAATTGGAGCGAACATACCTAACGGTATTTATTTTTTTAAATTTTGGTTCGAAGTTTAAATTTTTTAAATTTTTTCAATAAAAAATTTTATTTAAAAAAAAACAATACCCAAGCTAAAATTATATGAATTTTTCCTTTTTATTATTTAAAATGATGTTTATTAATTTTAATTTTCATTCATGGTAATTAATTATTTTTAATATTGTAATATTTCTTTGTATAGATAAAGTTTAATAAATAGTATTGTAAGTAATAAATAAGATAATATTATAATTTTTCTTTTATTTTGGGTGATTTGGAATATTTCCAGATATTAAAATCAAACAAATAATAAATTCTTTTTTTTTTCTATTTTTTTTTTTCTTTTTAAATATTTTTAAAAATATTTATTTTTTTAAATATTTTTAAATTATTTTTTTTAATTTTAAATTTTATCACAATGGATGAATTATTTCGAAAGGTTTTTAACAATAAATTTTTATTTATTCATATATTCAATTCCAATAGAGAATATATTGATACCAGTGATGCTAAAGGATTCAGTTTTGGTAATAAAAAGAAATTTAAAGATATTTACCAATTAAAATGGTTTATTGAAAATGACCAATATAAATTACTTAATTGTAAATTAAAGGCTGGTGAAGAGATTATATTAGATCAGTTCTCATTGAAAAACCTATTCAATAGTAAAAGCCCAGCAGATCATTATAGAATTAAAAATAAAGGTTCTTTTTCTACAAGATACTGTTCCAGATACAGAGGTTACTATAGAGAGGGTGATGAAGAAATCTTCAAAACTAAAGCCATGCAAATGTTTCAAGAAGAGTCTGAAGCAAGAAAAGAAACATTATCATTGCTAATAAATTTATATCCAAAGAAATTAAAAGAAACATGCTTTTTAATTGAAACCTTATTACTCAGATCAAATGTTGTAAGAGGGATATACAAGCCAAATTTAGAACTACTTTTTATATTTACAAGCAAGCCATTCTACTCTTCAATTGATAAACCCTTACTAAAGAAAATTCTTGAAGATAATCAGTACAAATACCGGGATATTATAGTCGACTTTATTATGGATCACCCAAACATGTATAAGCCAAGAGGAAAAGATAAGCTGATATCATTGAAAATATCTCAATTTTTAACCATCAAAAGCACCCGTACCCAAATTAGATTGTTAGAGTCTGGTTTTATCTCATTGAGTAAAAAGAAAACTATAGAGTTGAATAATAGCATTGGCGACATTGGCGATAGAGTTCAGGATTTATACAAACAATATTTTGAATATTACAAAAACTCAAGAAAAGAAAAACTCTTTGAATTCTACAATCTGTATTTTATCAAATATGACCAGTTTTTGCAAAATGACCAATTATTTATAGATAGTTTTATTTTTAAATATACTTTTGGTTATCTTAGTGTTAATGGACTAAAGTATTTGGCAGATTCGAAATTTGATAGAAATTTGCTATCTAAAATAAACCAAGAAGTTAAATTGCAAAAGTCTCACTTGGGTGTTTCAAATGATTTCATTCAACTATACACCAAAGATGAATTTTATTATAGGTTTAGAAATATTTCAACTGATATCGAGATTATCAAATATTTAAACAAACTGACTCATGTAGATAATCAACTCTATCAATTTGCAGTAGATTCATTCTCATTTGGTCATGGTTTATTCAAATCTAAAGATTTCCCAAAATCTCTATGGAGTACTTTAAAAACACTGGCATCGCCATTACCATCTCAACTACTTATTAAAGATAAAGAAATAATTGACTGGATTTTAGAAAATCACCAACTCATTACAGAAATGCATCAAATGGTATATAAATCAACTCCGATTGTAAAGTATCAATCAATAGAGTTAATGGAATATGCAAAAGAAAAATCATCTGTCGCTAAAGTAGAATTTTTAAACTCGGGACCAGTCTATACATACTTATTCAGCATGGCAATCAATGATTGCAATATTGATCAACTAAAATATCTAGATTGTAACTTTAATGAACAAATTAAAGAGTTTGATAAAATTATTAAAAGCAACTTATCCACAACAGATAAGCTAATTAAGAAATCAATTCAAGAAATAAAAAAAACCTTCGTATCACATCTTAGGGTGGCTCAAAAAAAAGAGGCAAAAATCAAATTTCAAAATCAGGATACTTCAAGTCTTATTAGATTAGTCAATTATTTAAACTCAACTCATTTCAAGTTATTTTCATCGTCTTTATTTAAAGAGTTTATACATTGTATTGTTGATAGTAATATTGGTGAAGAGGTTATGGCTTTAAATCAATTAAAAATCAATTTTAATCAATTCCCATCAGAAACAAACCAATTATACACTGAATCAATCACAGATATAAAGTCACCAAAAATCATTCAATTAATTTTAAATAATCATTTTAACCCATTTTCATCAACATCAAAATTAGAATCATTTAATGAATACTGGCTTATCAAATCTAAAGATAAAAGAGATGGAAGTTATTATTATTTTTATCATGGTTATGCCTCTGATGGTGATGTTTATCCCACAAATCAAAGTTGTCTTTATTTTTTAGGTGATGATGGGGAAAGATTCCATTGTACCTCTGGTGAATCCTCAAGTGAAATTATAAAATGTATTAATATTGTTTTGGGCCAATTCAGTAATGCTATTACAACCGCTAAAGATGATGACTACTTAAAACAACTATCAAATACATTTCAAAATATTTTAAATTATTTATTTAAAAGATTAATAAAAGTTTACCTAGTTAGTGGTGATACTGTTGCATATGTCCATCAGTTAATATCTAGGTCATGGGAAGATTCAACAAAAAACTCAAGTGTAAAACCGTTTAAATTCGAACATTCAATTTATCACTCATATTACTATCTTGCTACCAGATCTTTAAAAACAGTTCGATTATTGTTATCAATATCCTCAACATATTTTATCAATCAAAAAACAGATTTCGATCTCGAATCTATAAACTATGAAGATGAAATTGAATTCAATACTTTTCTAGAGAAAACTCCTAATGTATTAAAATTCTTAAATGTAAACCTCTTTACATTTGAATTTATTTTTAATTCATCCATTAGCAACCTTTTAGACACACTAATCAAAAAACTAATTGTAGAACCATCTTTAGACTCATCAATACAATGGGCATTCAACATAAATCCATATAGCGAGAATGTCACATTAATATTAGAATTCCTAATGGAGGTAAAAGAAGTGGATCTATTTTTTAAATATTTAGATATCATTCAGGGTCAATTGGAAAATAAAGAATTTTCAATAGGGGAATTTCCATATACTTGTGATGAATCAGATATACTTGATCAAGATTGTAAAATTAATAATTTTTATCAAGATTTAAAACCAACTTTTGGTAGATATTTTATATTTTCACCGAAATTGGTTCAAAACTCTTTGGTCACTTTAGATTCTGACTCGTTTTTCAAATTTTGTAAATTTTGCTCCTATCTTTCAATTAAATATATGTCAATTGATTATTTAGATCAACCTGCCAGTGGTAAAAATTTAGATTTATTAAAAGAAATATTGGAATATTTAAAAAACAAATAAATTTTTAAAAATCAAACCAATTTATTTCACCTTTTTTTATTTTATTTTTATTTTAAATTTCAAAAATAATAGTAATAATATTATAAACGTTTATTTATTTATTAGTTTTATTTATTTCTTTCTTGATTATGGAATGATTTCATAATCGTAATAGTCAATACCATTAAACTTCAAATAACACTTGTTTATATAGTATATTGCTGATACAATCATTGCAAAACTGATAATTAACCCGACACATATAATAAAAATTTCTAAAGATTTTACAAATTGTCTTTCGCTGCTACTACTAGTACTAGAGCTGCTGCTGTCATAAAAGCTGCTTCCATCCTTCAATGATAGGTCATTACAATTTGATGTATTGCATTCAATATATTTATTGATATTGTTATTATTAGTTGATTCGATAACTAATTCTGAATTCTGAAATGTAATATTACCAATTGGACAATGAATAATTTTATTAATATCAATATTATTATTATTGTTATTATTATTATTATTATTATTTAATTTAATATTTATTTTACTATTTGTAATTATTAAATTGTTTATAGATGTGAAGCTAACTATTGGTTTTATTTTATCTGTGTTTTGATTATATGATATGATTGATTCAGAGAGTGTTAAGTCATTGCTATCCTCTTGGCATATTGAAATACCTGTATCATTGTCTGAATGGTCATTGGTGAATGTGGAGTTGTTAATTTCTAATTTAGTATTGGAAAATATGGAGGCACATCTGGATGCCTTGTTATTATCAAAATAGCAGTTTGAGATGACTGTAGTTGATTTTGATATTTGATCATTTTCAATATTTTGATTTAAACGTAATACCCCACCAACGGATGATTCTGCAGAGTTATTAATAAAATTACAGTTTGATATGTGCAAAATAAAATTTGAAGAGTCAATGCAACTGCTGATATTACTATTATTTAGATTATGGTTATTTATAAACTGGCTATTATATATTTTGGTAAATTTTGAATTTAATTTTAATATTATAGAGTTATCATTTAAATTATTATTGATTGATTTTAAATTATTTAATACTATTGTTGAATTTGAATCTTTTAAAAATGACGATTCCTTATTAAACTTGCAGTTTTCAATAGTTAAATCTTGAATTAAAATATTATTTGAAAAGCTATTAATACCACTAAAATTATTAATATTTTCATTATTTATATATTTTAAATTCTCTATAAAAATATTTGATTGTTTATTATTTAAAATTGTAATATCTTTGGAATTTTCAATAGTAATATTTAATAAATTTATATTTATATTATTGTTATTTTCGTTATTATTATTATTATTATTAGAAGGTTGATGATTTATTAAGGTTTTTGAATTTAATTTAATAAAATTTAAATTAACTAGTTTTAAAGTTGTTATGATTTCTTTTTTATAATTATAGTTATCATTTATTATTAAAAAACTATCATTATCATTATCATTATTGTTGTCATCTTTTATTATTTTTATTGTGTTGTTGTTGTTGTATGGTTTGATTGTTATATCCATCCCATATATATTATGATTATTTTTGTTATTATTTAAATAATAAATATCATTCATTAACAATATGGTTAATGAGTAATCATTTTTATTGAAATCATTTAAAAATGATTCTATGGCATTGTTTATAGTTGAACAATAGTTTTCAATATTATTTCCGCATTTAATATTGTTATTTTGTTTATTATCGTAAATATTATTATTATTATTATTATTAACAAAAAATATTATATTGTTATTATTAATATTATTGGTATGTATCGATTTACCAAATGATATTGATATTATTAATGATAGTGATAAAATTATAAAGATGTAATATTTTATATTATTATAATCCATGGTTGATATTTTTATAAATATAGTTAAAAGTAAAAAGAATATTAAAAAGTAGAAAAATAAAAATAAAAAAAAAACTATAACCATAAAACT